ATGTCTACTATAAACATAAACACAGTCATTTTTGTATACATTTTTCCAATTTTTTAAAATGTAATTTTAGTTACATATTTTTCTTTTTTTTGCAGCAAAGTACAAACATTCCCTCCGGCATAATATAAAGTGTAACCCAACTGAGTTGATAATCTCAGCACCTGTATCATTTAAAAAGGTAAGAAATACGCTATTAGTTCCCAGAAACTCTGTAACACTACACCAGGGAAATAAAATCCAATATTTGGTGATGTGACACTGAAGGCTCGGGGAATAGGAAGGAATTACTGACAGAGTAGTTAACGAAAAGCTACAGGCTATAATGAACAAATAAACCTCGATACTTTCATTTATTATTTATTGCATACTCTTTTTTATTTCTTTTTTTAACTCTTTGAGGCATGGAATTCATATTTCATGATCCTGTTGGCGGTACATAAAATCGTCTTCTGATAAGTGTTGTTCTGAGCCAATCACAATGCTTCCCAATAGGATTGGTTGAGACTGTCAAGGAGGCAGATCAGGGGCAGAGCCAACACAAGTCAAACACAGCCCTGGCCAATCAGCATCTCCTCAAAGAGATGAATTGAATCCACGTCAGCCCTAAGAGCCAGGCCCCCCTCCCAGGCATCCAATGCTGAATCAGAATGGGTCAGTGTGTGTCTGTATGGGGCAGTGTGTGTCTGTATGGGTCATTGTGTGTCTCCATGGGTCATTGTGTGTGTGTCTGTATGGGTCATTGTGTGTGTCTGTATAGGTCATTGTGTGTCTGTATCAGTTAGTGTTTGTTTGTATGGGTCAGTGTGTGTATGTATGGGATCAGTGTGTGTCTCTATCGGTCAGTGTGTGTCTGTATGGGTAAGACAGTGTCTGTATGTGTGTGTCTGCATGGGTCAGTGTGTGTCTGCATGGGTCAGTGTGTGTCTGCATGGGTCAGTGTGTGTATCTAAGGGTAAGAGAGTGTCTGCATGGGTCAGTGTGTGTCTGCATGGGTAAGAAAGTGTCTGTATGGGTCAGTGTATGTCTGTATGTGTGTCTCTGCATGGGTCAGAGTGTGTATATGGGTCAGTGCGTGTGCATTAGTTTGCATGGATCAGTGGGTGTTTATACTTGTTTCAGCATGTGTGTTAGTCTGCATAAGTGGGTGCGGCAAAATGTTTTTTGCCTTGGGCGGCAAAAATGCTTGCACATGCCCTGGCTGTAAGAGCATTACGGGAGATGTAGTCAAGAACATCTGTAGTGGTGAAGGTTGCCTACCCCTGCCCTAAGTACTACTAATTAAAAATACTACACGTCCTTCCTAGAATTTCGGTGTTCAAACTTCCCCCCTGACTATCCATGAAGTCTTCATCTCGTTGGTTGGTACAGACCTCTCTGGAAGCTCTATCTTTGCTTCTACTGGCCTAGACCTCTATCGTGTGCTTGTGGGTAGCTATTGCTTACAATGCCACAGACCACCATCGTGTGCCCATCACAGACCTTTATAATGTCTATGTGGACTTTATTTCAGCTGGCACAGACCTCTACAGTGCCCCCCGTATGTCACATCCAATTACTTTGTTTCATTAAACTGTATTAGCACTTTAATCCTAAGGTAAGCAGGAGAGGTTTACAATTACACCACCCTTTCTGAAAAAAAAAGACTCAAGCCACTCCGTGCTGCAAACTGTGAAAGAACTGAATTCACTGGTGAGGTCAAGCTTTGTTGATGCGTTTTGCTATCTCCACTTTCCTATCTATGACTGAAAATAGACTGTTTGTTGGTAACTAGGTGCGAGTGACCTGCAAGCTGAGATTTCATAATTGGTTTTATAATTAAGCGTTGACAAGGAATATAAGACCTCAAATGACCCAAAACGTCCTTTCTACAGGTGAGATCAGAGAGCCTTGAGGAAAAAAAATCATATTAGTGATAATGTGACTGAAATACCAGCAGGATGAGTGAGAGGTACGGGATAATTAGAGGAGCATGGCTTAAACCAAAAGTCCATGGACGCAGCGGGGAGGAGGTAACACTCTGAGTGTCTATGGATATAAAGATTGAAAGGCATTAGGTGGTGTTTTGTACTACCTGCCCCAGCTGACCACTATACACAGGAATAATGTTTTTTGTTCAATACACCCTTGGATTGTTCTGGTGTATACACAAGGGAATTTTCTAATTAACAATTTTGTTTAGGCTCAGTTCCCTAAACATAGAAAGTTGCCTAGTAAATTAGAATTCCAGCCATGTTAGGTACAAGCAATGCATGCTGGGAGTATAGAGCACTCTCAAAGACGGTTCATGCTCTCTACGAGATATTTTGATACATGTTTTGCACCAGAATAGTATGTTTATGAAATACTTCTGCTATGGAATTCTGTCTGTTTGAAAACTTTTTTATACATACTTTTGAGTTTTTCTGACCGTAAAAAAAAATACTTGTTTAAAAACGATGGCATTGCAAAATAAAATATAAAATTTTTTTTAAAAAGACATAAAAAACCACCCCACAATGGATTTTTTTTATGTTTCTACATTTTACTTGTTCATGAATTTTTAATGTATTGATAGAAGTTCTAAGTGTAAAAAAAAACAAAAAAAAAACGAATGCCGATCGTATTGACACCTAAAATGAATCTGAGGGTGCGGAGTATTTTTATTGGGATAATTCTGTGCCTTTCTTAGACTATCTCCTAAAAACTCTGCACATCAAAGGGTCTGACTGATGCGTTCAGACTCAGCCCCTTAATGTTTAATAAGCCCCCTGTGTTTCTGACTTCTCCTTTCCTATAGAAGATGTTCTCTGTGAATACAGATAGACCATATGTCCTTCGTTGTGTGTCCCAGCCCAGTCTATTAGGACGAATGGAGCTAGCATATGTGCAAAAAGCCTCCCCATAGATCTTCAACCAGGGGGTTGGGGAGTGGGCATCTTAATTAAGGAATAGAATGCAATTAATATCAGCAGTCTCCAGACCATTCTGCTAATCCTCGCTAGGAAGTACAAAGCGATATCGCATGTGGATGGAATCAATTATGGACAACAAATAATGGTGGCAGAGAAAAAAAAAAAAAGGACATTGTCATCCCCCATGCCTTGCGCCAATGATTTTCATCTGGGGTTCACATGTATAAATTCAGAATGGTTTTGGATTGTGATAATGACTTCCTTTTGCAATTTCCGCTTGTTGCTGTTATCGGAACGATAAAGCAGCTCACAGTGACAGTTAACCCCTTTTCCAGAGCTTAACCATTGCAGAGCATAACCTCACAGCACTGAAAGTGTTAACCTCGTTAAAATCCGGTGGACCCAGCATGCATTGCGACAGAGACATCCTGCAAGTAGGTTATACATTGGGCCAAGGTGTACATTCACTAAACAGCTGATTGTAGTGAATTAAAAAACAAATTGCAAAATTGAGGCTACAACAATCAACCTCAGAATAGAGCGCGGGTTTGAGAATTTTTCCAAATCAGCTATATTTGTCAAATTTGAGGAATTTGGCTTAAAATCCACGGAAACTTGGTGTTTTGTGAATAAGCCCTCAGTTTAGTTGATTCTATGGCTTTCTCAGTGTATCGAGAGCATCTTTTGGAAAATCTGTATCATTTGCTATAAGTCCTGCATTTTTGGAAAAATTAGAATGGGATACTAGGCATGTGGGCAAAAAAAAAGTGAATTAATCTCATCAGACCAGACGTCAGAAAACATACAATTTGTGATATGTTTCATTTTTATTTTTTTTTAATCATGAAATGATTATAAAGTGAACATGCCTGTAGCTTCTTACTAGTTTTCAAGTGAGATCTTTTTTGATGCTATTATCCAACTTACTGTTACTCATTTCATTGACCTTGGAAGGATGAAAAGCTGTGTTGGCATTTCCAGGAGCTGAACTTGCCACACTAAGAAACTGTAGCCTAAGCCTATCTATATAGCAACCCCTTAGGTTACAGTATTGGAGTGAAGATATCCTACCGGCTATGTGAGCTAGCATTATGTTAAAGGGAGACTATAGTCATCAGTTAAACAGGGAAGAGGGATACTATTCCCGATATTTAGGTATTAAATAGATAAAACTTAATCTTTATTGAAATGTTAAAAACTGTAATTCATCACACAAATAGAACGATAAAAGAATAATAAACAAACTTAATATTATACGATTATGTAGAACCAATGAATGGAGGTAGATCCACTCTACCTCTCTCAAATAGGTAGTAATTATAGTTTTGGCTCACTAAAACTCAACCCAATTCAACGTATCTCTGTGCGGAGTAATTTACTGCATGCGTCCTAGTCTCCGAATGACCGGCGCGCCTTAGGATATAAAGTAAGTAATTCTCTTTTTTAAAGGTTGGGGTGCGTACATCTAAATAGTTAATATAACACTATAGCATTAAGAATACAAATAAGTGATTAGGAGAGTTGCTAGTTTATACATGACCAGACTTAAAAAAACTCTGTACTCCAAGTTTATCTCTGACCAGTCGGCACCTTTCTGATTGGCCGATTCTTTTGTGCCTTGGTTAATTTGTAACGTGTATGTTAACAAGCGCAGATATAAATGTCAAAAGGTTTTTGCAGCTGGAAGGAATTTAATGTTTTAAACAATAATGTAAATCTTATTTAAACACAGTATAAAATACCGCTCATATATTGTATAAATGTCCATGTGATACATATACAGTATTTACTCATTCCCCACTGATTAAAGGTCTGCTCCACTTACTCCTGGTTCTATAACTTGGTTTCAAGAATTGGAAAAATTGAAGATTATACTAGCTTTAGTGTACTAATAATCTTAATTTTAGTAATGACAGGAGGCGAATATTTGCATATCTTTCTTTACTTAAAACTCCAGCAGCATAGAAACATAACAACCAATCAGAAAAAAGTAATGATGCCCATAAAAGGCCCTGTCTATGACATCACTTCCTCTTTCTTTGAAGCGAACATAATAACAGAATAAGAACATAACTGTAGGACAAAACGTGAACAGATCAACAATATAGAAGCACATCCAACTCGAGTGATCCCGTGGTGTAGCCGTAGTACGAGAGGCACCTTGTCTTGTGGAGATTTTCATACTGCAAAAGAAGAAAAAAGGTGAAAGGTCTCTGGTATGATAATTTGTCCGCATGCAATATATCGTAAGAATGCTGATTTCCCACGGTTATAAACAAAAGCTATCCATCTACAAACTAGAACTTACTGACACTAAAAGGAAACAGGTAAACAATCTAGTACTAGTACAATTACCATCCTGCAACTAACCCATTCTAGTAAGTAACTGTGCCAGTCTGACCGTGTACCAGGTAAAACATGTCTTCCTGAACACTAACACATACACACATCCAAACGAGTAACCTAAGGGAGGGATCCTAAAGGGTGGGAAATATTCGCCTCCTGTCATTACTAAAATTAAGATTATTAGTACACTAAAGCTAGTATAATCTTCAATTTTACCACATGACAGGAGGCTTCATATTTGCATTTTTAAAGCTTCGAGTTGACTAATGTGAAGGAAGCATGAGAAGTCTGTCGAAAGTAAAAAGTCCTAAAGGTACTCTCTCGCGACCAATCCGCGCAGCGCATAATGTCGGCCAGGGAGGCGCCGGCCGATAAGGCTTGAGAGGCCGCCGCCCCTCTGACTGAGTGCGCTCCGAAGCAGGGAGTTCGTGATTTCGGTATACCTCAATAGTGTCCTGACTACACATAATTTGGGGTCTGTACCAAAGTATGGGTATGACACTGACGCTGAGTCCGATTTCGTGCGTCTCGATATGTGGAAGGTAACCCCTTCTGGAGTGAATGAGAAACCATCCACGTCGAACGCCCGGACATCTGCCACCCGTCTGAAAGAGACGAGGCATAGTAGGAGGGCCAGCTTCGATGAGAGCTGTTTCAATGATAGGTAGGGATTGTCCGGCCATTCCCGAAGGAATTTCAGCACCACCTCTACCTGCCAAAGGTGTGAGTATTTGGGTGCCGGGGGTCTCGTTAATTTGGTACCCCGCAGTAGCCGGCAGACCAGTGGGTCTTGGCCTATCGGTCTGCCCTGTACCGGGAGGTGCGCCGCCGAGATGGCGGATCTGATCACATTGAGGGACCTATATGATCGTCCCAACATGAACAGGTGTGACAGGTAGTTGAGGATCAACGGGATAGGTGCAGTAAAGGGATCGGAATCCCTTTCCACACACCAGTCGCTCCAGGCCGACCATGCGGAAATATAGCATTTCCTGGTGCCGGGAGCCCATGAGTCCCAAAGGAGGTCTTTAGATGATTGCGATAGGCCGTGGACTGACCAGGAGCCCCTGAAATCGTCCAAGCCACTAGTTCCAGCTGTCCTTCCAAGACGAGGGAGTGAGCCTCCCCTCGAGGTCCCGTCAGAAGGAGAGGGAAGGTGGGGAGCAGAAGTGGGTCCTCGTAAGACATCTCCAGGAGCTCTGGGAACCATGGTTGACTCCGCCAGAGGGGTGTTAGGAGTAAAAGCGATATCTTGTGGTTGCGTGCGTATCGTAGTACTCGCGGGATCATGGCGAACGAAGGGAAGGCATACGCCCCCTGCGTGGGCCAGTTCTGTAGGAATGCGTCCGTAGCTTCGCTTTCCGGGTCCGGGAGCCAACTGTAGTACCTCGGTAGTTGGTGGTTGGTCCTGGAGGCGAACAAATCTATTGTGAGTGGACCCTTCCCCCATCTCAGCTCTAGGAAGATCTCTTTGTTGAGTGTCCAATCGCTGTTGTCTCGCCAATGACGCGAAAACCAGTCCGCTGTCAGGTTGGAGGTTCCTGGTAGGTATTCCGCCTGCAGCGTGATGTTCCGTGAGAGGCAAAACTTGTAGATGTCTTTCGTGGCTTCTGTTAGGTCTCGAGACCTGGCCCCGCCGAGGCGGTTGATTTACTGTACTGCCGACACGTTGTCCATGCGGAGTAATATGCAACAGTTGGATTTGTCCTTGGCCAAGCTGCGGATGGCGAAGGACCCCGCGATCAATTCCAGACAGTTGATATGGAGTTCGGTCTCTTCCCCTTGCCACGGGCCCCCCGTGGAGGCGTCCGTGCAGTGTGCGCCCCATCCCCACAGGCTGGCGTCCGACTCCACAATGAAGTCTGGGGAAGAGCCAAAAATCGCCTTGCCATTCCAAGCTTGAATGTGCAGTAACCACCATCGGAGTTCCGTTCTCACCTCCGTTGACAGTGGAATCCGGCTGTCGTATGAGTGTCCGGTGCGCAGGTATTCCGCCTTCAGCCGTTGCATGACCCTGTAGTGTAATGGTCCCGGGAATATCGCCTGTATGGAGGAGGAGAGAAGTCCCACGATCCGGGCGAGCATCCTGAGTGTTATGGTCTCCAGTCTCAGAACCCGTCTGATTTCCTTCCGTATTGAGGCTATCTTCGTTTGGGGTAGCCGAAGCACGCATTCCTTCGAGTCGATATCGAACCCGAGAAATTGGACTGATTGGGAGGGAGAGAGGGACGATTTTTGTCTGTTCACTATGAAACCTAAAGATTCCAGCAAGTGAACGACAAATTTCGTCTGCCATCGCAGCCTGGCAGCGGATTCGCAGAAGATTAGCAAATCGTCCAAGTATACGAGACATCGAATGCCCGAGGATCGTATGTGAGCCATCACCGGCCTCAGCAGCTTCGTGAAGCACCACGGCGCCGAACTGAGGCCGAATGGCAGACACGTGAACTGGCACAGACGTCCTTGCCAGCGGAATCGGAGAAAACGGCGGCTGTGTACGTCCATGGGAACCGACAGGTACGCGTCTTTGAGATCCAGGCGTGTAAACCAATCGTTTTTGATGAGAAGGTCTTGTAGGAGGTGGATTCCTTCCATTTTGAAGTGTCTGTATGTGACGTAGGAATTCAATTGTCGGAGGTTGATGACAGGCCTGTATTCGCCCGTTTTCTTCTTTACCAGGAAGATATTGCTTACGAAGCTGTCCCCTCCTGTCGCGTATTGTATCGCGCCTTTCCTGAAGAGCATCTGGATCTCTTCGTCTACCAGGCGTCCTTGATCCGCTGACATGTGTATTGGCGAAGGGGGAATGGTCTGTATAGGTTGTGCTGAAAATTCTATGGTGAAGCCTCTCACCGTCTGGAGTACCCAGGCGTCCTTGGTGATAAGCTTCCAGTTCTGAAAGGTTGCCTGCTAGAAAATTGGAAACATTGTGGTATATAGGTGGACTCACCATTAGTGAAACGGCCGCGTCCTCGGCCCCTGAAGCCTCTCGACCTCCCTGACCCTCGGTATGAAGATGGTCTTTGCGTAGCCGAAGGGAAGAAGCTTGGGGCTTGTGAAAAGGATCTGGAACCTGATGCCCAAAAACGGCTGGTGGCTTGGCTCCTCTGCTGACCAGCCCTCCCAAAAACACCTCTTCCTGGTGGATTGTGGAAAACCTGCTTTAGAGAGGTCTGTGCCTTATTCAAGGTGGTGAAGAGATTCACGTGATTCTTCAGCTCCGAGATAAAAGCATCGCCAAACAGGAGCCCTTGTGCTTTCGGTCCGAATTCTTTGGCGCCTAGATCCAGGAGCTTACTGTCTATACGGATCAACGCCGATCTACGCCTCTCGGTGCACAGAACGGCGTTGGCGTTGCCTAGGAGGCACACTGATCGTTGGGCCCATTCCCGTATGATGTTCGGGTCTAGCTGGGAGCCCTGGCTGAGTGCCAGATCTGCAAAAAATAGTATCTTAGCGATGGGGCCGAGTAGGTCCAGCACCTTGTCCTGTGCTGCCTTCATACCTTTCTCCACGCCTTTGCGCGGGTCTCGTCCCGAACGGGACATAAAGACCACTACCGTATTATCGAATTCGGGTGTAAGTGCCACCTTATCCGGTATCAGTGGTCTGGGGCATTCGGCCCTGAGGCGTGCACGTACCTCTTTCTCCAGAGGCTTGCGTAGCCAATAGTGTATGAAGTCCGTCAAGTGGTCTGGTAGTGTCCATTCGGAAGAGCGTGGGTGCCGGATGGTACGTGGGTCGAACAATGGGTTCCCTTGTTCGTCCGTGAACTTCCCGTCTCCGGCTTTTCCGGCTTTGTTGTCGAAGGAGTTGTCATCTTCTTGGTCGTCATCACCGTGAAAGGTCTCCTTGACGTATCTCGAGGAGGTGGGTGGTAGGTCTTGCCACTCTTCCTCCTCTGACGGAGAGCTGTCCCCACGCCATTCGTCCACTACGTCCAAGGCGTGTGGTACGTGCACATCCTCCTCGTCCGAGGAGAGTAGTACTCGGGGTGTGTGCAGTTGCCGTTCCGTGCTCTTACTCCGTTTAGCGGGTAACTTGCCTTTGGTCTTTGAAGGCGGGGGGGAAACCTTCCTATGTCTCTTAGCCTTGGATAGTTCGGATCCCGAGGCCTCCACTTGTCCTGGGGGGCTAGTGTCGCCCTGGCTTTGGGGTAACGCCCTCAGTAGGGCCTTCTCCACCGAGGCCGCCACTGCGGCATTAATCATGGCTTGGAAATCTTGGCTCTGAGTGTCCTCCATGACTCGACCAGTCTTCCCTCGTCCTGTTGGGCGAAAGGAAGAGTCAGTGGGGGGATGTGAAGATGTATTAACACATGCGGTTTGATCCGCCACAATTGTATCAAAGCTGGGTGCACGGACTAGCGGTATCGAGAATAGACTGAGGCATAGGCCTTCGTGCATGTAATCGGGGTTCACCCCGGGTGGTGTGCCGTGGTATACCGGAGGACTCCCACATCAATGGTAAAGGTCAGTGAGTGACCGAGCATGCATATCTGGGGGGTCACCCCAGGTGGTGTGCCATGAAAAATCGCCCAGAGGACACCCACATAATTTTTGTACGGTAAGGTACAGTAATATGGTAAACCCAGCGTAGGGTGTATAGACAGCCTGTCCCAGAGTAGGGACGGTGAGGTAATAAAATCTTGTGCAGCAGGTTTTTTTTTTTTTTTTGTGAGTAATGCAAAATAGAAAAAACCCTAAGCGAGATATGACAAGCTAGGGTGACCCTATATAGGGTGTAGTGGATTAGTGAGACACTGATAGGGCATGGAGACCTCAGGTCCTGTGCTTGGAGAAAAACTGTAGTGTCTCCTTTAATGCATGCTTAGATTTGGAGGGAACAGGATGCAGTCATTGTATGGTGACACACTATATACCGTGAGAAAAACAAAAACCAGTCAGCATGCCCTCCTCCAATGTATGGAGAGGGCATACACATGTGTAGCTCGGCGGTTGGGTGAGTTTCCGAACCGCCGAGCGAGCGGGACAGGCGGCCGTCTGGTATCTCGCGAGCCGCGAGATCCAAGATGGCCGCCGCCCGCGTGTGGAGGTGCCGCGCGGACCAGCAGCACCCAACAAACTTGGACCCCAACCTCCCTTCTCCCGTCCCCGAAACCAGACCCCGAGCGATAGAAGGGGAGGGGGGCGGCCCGCGAGGCGCGCGCGACTCAGAGAAGGTCGGCGCGCTCGCGGTCACCCGGCCACAAAGGAAAGGGGGGGTATAGATAGAAACGGAGGGGGGACAGGGGTAAGAGGAGGTCGGTGGAAACAAATATTAATTCTAATAAACACAAACAATAAATAATAATAGCTCTAAAAGGAAAAACACCAATCTATATAAAGCAATCTGCAGGCACATGAAAAGGCATAAAAACAAACAGAATACAGTAAACTGCCAGGAGGCAAAATACTCTGACCTGATGTTGGCTGGAGCAGCAAAGAAAGAGGAAGTGATGTCATAGACAGGGCCTTTTATGGGCATCATTACTTTTTTCTGATTGGTTGTTATATTTCTATGCTGCTGGAGTTTTAAGTAAAGAAAGATATGCAAATATGAAGCCTCCTGTCATGTGGTAAAATTTCAAATCATACTTTCATAAACGTTGCGCTTCTCTACAAGAACCTCTTCTTAGATGTGTTTTGCAGTGCTGGATCTAAATATATGGAATGACGATGAATAAAAATGATAAAAATGCTCATATCTGAATTCCAAGCCTTTGTTTTTTTTTGTGTGTGTGTGTGTGTGAAACAGCGGTCTTTGCTTGTTCTGTAATAGTCTGTCACCGAATTGGGAACTCATTTAACTTTCCATAGCACTGCTGATCTCATGCCATAACAAGTTTTAAATAGGCAAATCAAGGGCTTCTGGGAGTAGTAGTTCATTTGTTAGCTTTCTAGTGTTGAGAGCTCAGAGCTGCACTACAACTCCCAGAAATCTAGGTCAGTTTATGTTCTTCGCCTAGAGCGGTCATGCAGAATGGAAGCTGAGTGGCCTAAGCCCCAACTTGACACCCCTGCTCCTCCTACTTAAAGCGGTTCTGTCACTTTCTGGTGTCTCTGCATATTTTGCCAAGACTGTAGCCCATGGATCAGCGCAGCTAAGAGGAATAGGCCTTGACAGAGCCAGGAGGTAGGCATAGCAGCCACAGGAATTTAGTGACAGCTAGCATGCTGGGTAGGACGGAGCCATAAGGGGAGTATTTATACCAGCCATTATATGAAGTGGCCATTTTAACTGAACCTAAGCTTACCTGTCAGTTGTCCCTCCCACCCTCCCTGTATTTGGTTAGGTTAGTTGATTTCCCGTTTTTTCACAGCGGCGGGGAATGGCCTGGTTAAATCGGAGGGTAGATGGAGGAGAAAGTGGGCATCCTGAGGTTTAGTGTGGATTGGGCAGTGTTGCACGTGGTTGGTAGGTTCGAGCCCGTCGGTGGCTCCGAACCTGGGGGTGTGGTGGTGTCTTGGTACACCCTACACTGGAACTGGTGGGTAGCGGTGTCTTGGTACACCCCTACAATGGATATGGTGGGTAGCGGTGTCTTGGTACACCCCTACAATGGATATGGTGGGTAGCGGTGTCTTGGTACACCCCTACAATGGATATGGTGGGTAGCGGTGTCTCGGTACACCCCTACAATTTAACCTGGTGGAAATGTGGTCAAATTGGACGGCCAGTTTCTGTGTTAACATGTTATTTATATTGTTATCTATTGTTATTATTGTGGGGTCATTGCTAGGGGTATGTTATGTATATGGGGGAGGTTAACATTATTAAGATTTGTTGGCAATGACCCCATTTGTTATTCCTTAATTATTTTATTAATAATTTAATAAAGCTGTGGACAAATTATTTCCAACAGTATAACCTGTGTCCGTGTTTTAATGGGGGTTTGGGTAAGGTTAGCGCATATGCCGGCAAATCCGACTGTGCGCCTGTCATGCATTTGGTGACTGTCACTCAGTGTGTGATGTACGCAAGGAATGGTCAACATCCTTTTCTTTGTCAGGGGCCTTTTTGAGTTCAGACGCTTCATCTGTCAGGAGCCGACATCAGTGCTGTAATCTCGCGCATGTGCCAGAGTATAACACTGATGGCTAGTGATGTCACGAGATTTCAGGATCCTCCATCGACAATGCCTTTCAGCTGGGGGCTTGACAAGGGCCGGTGCAAAGATTTTTGCCACCCTAGGCAAAACATTTTTTTCCGCCCCATTCGTTCCACCCACTCATGCAGACTTACCTAAACTGACCAATACACACACACACTGACCCATACAGACACACACACTGACCACACACATACACACACTCACACTGACCCATGCAGAGATACACAATGACCCCCACACACAGACACACACTGACCCATAAAGACACACACACTGACCCATACACACAGAGACCAATACACAAAAACAGACACATACATACACACTGATTCATAAACACACACGCTAACCCATGCAGACACACGCTGGCCCATACACACACACAGAGAACCATACACACAAGCAGATCCATACATACACACACACATTGACCCATGCTGACACATGCTGACCCATGCAGACACATGCTGACCGATACATATATAGACCGATACATACCCAGACAGATACATACACACACACACACACAGACTGACTTAGAAAGACATACACACATACACACACACACACAGACCCATACATACACGTAGACACACAGACCCACACATGCACACACACAGCAGATGCAGACTTACCTAAACTGACCAATATACACACACTCTGACCCATACAGACACACACACTGACCACACACATACACACACTCACACTGATCCCCCTCCACACACACACACACTGACCATGCACACAGACACACACTGACTCATAAAGACACACACACAGAGACCCATACACACAAACATACCCATACATACACACTGACTCATAAACACACACGCTGACCCATATACACACACACACACACAGGGCTGCCACCAGAAATTTTGGGTCCCCTGACAAAACACAAGGTCTGGGCCCCCCATGCCCCCGGCAAAGTTTGTGTTAGTGTAGTGAATGCACAGTGTGTGTCAGTGTAGTGAATGCAGATTGTGTGTTAGTGTAATGAATGCAGAGTGTGTGTTAGTGTAGTGAATGCAGAGTGTGTGTCAGTGTAGTGAATGCAGAATGTGTGTCAGTGTAGTGAATGCAGACTGTGTGTTAGTGTAGTAAATGCAGAGTGTGTGTTAGTGTAATTAATGCAGAGTGTGTGTTAGTGTAGTGAATGGAGAGTGTTTGTTAGTGTAATGAATGCAGAGTGTGTGTTAGTGTAGTGAATGCAGTGTGTGTGTTAGTGTAATGAATGCAGAGTGTGTGTGTGTTTACTAGTGTATGCATGTAATGTAATAATGTAAATGTAATAAATGTTTCTCCCCCATCCCTGCTTCTTACCTGGTTCATGCCTGGTGGTCCGGTGGCATTGTGGGCCCCCCCCGGCTCCCTATACTTGCAGAGGAGGGCCGGCAGACTGCGAGTGTGGTCTGCGTGCCGCGCGGAGCGTTGCCATGGTAACCCGTGGCAACGCTCTGACGGCCGCGGGTTTCGCGGGAGTTAAAGAGAGGAAAAATGCTGTAATGTGCTCTTGCAGTTTGCTGGGCCCCCTCTGCAAGTATAGGGAGCCGGGGGCCCGCGGCTGCACATATATAGCGATCATCGCTATATATATGTGCAGAGAGGGCATGTGGGGCCCAGGACTGCCAAAGCAGTCCGGGCCCCCCAGGACCGCTGGGCCCATGACAACCATCATGGTTGTCACCCCCTGATGGCGGCCCTGCACACACAGACCCATACACATAAACAGACCCATGCAGACACATACACAGACCAATACATACACATACACAGACCAATACAGACACATACACAGACTTATAAAGGCACACACATAGACCCATACATACACACACACAGACCCATAGATACACAAAGACACACAGAGCCATAAATCCACACACAGACCCATAAAGTCACACACACACACACCCATAGATACACACAGACCCATACATATACACAGACACACAGCCCCATACCTACACACACAGACCCATGTGCAGACTGACATACACAAACATACAGACTGACACACATTCTATGAAACACACTGTGCATTCTCTCTTACCTTTTTGCACTTTGCTCTTCGTTCCTGTCTTCTTTACTGCGCCCGGCGGTCGGCACTTTTTTCCCAGCCCCATTTCCTGCTATTCTCCGGCCCACTTGTCCCCACGAACAGGGCAATGGGGGGGTGCGAGTGAATGACACGCTCTTGCGCTGCCGCGGTGCTTGACTCAGAGAGGGGCCTGACTTTACAGGCTGTGGTGAATGCCGGACTGACATTCTACCAGGCGATAGTCTACAAGTAAGTGCTCCCTAGTGCCCAGTAATGCGGCCGGCAGCAGCCGCGGCCTGCTCTATATAATCAGTTCAACTTGATGGGGGGGGCGGGCAGACAAGCAGTAAAGCCACTGCCGCCATCCCTCCTTAAGAAGCACCCTAGGCGGCTGCCTACTAAGCCTATAGGATGCACGGCCCTAGGCTTGACAAAACTTGACAGGAGCAGCTCTTACTTTTTCTTGTCAAGCTTTCTCAAGCGTAGAAAAAAAAAAGCATTAGACATTTAAAGTAAATTTAAAATGTTTAGACCAAAATAGCCAAACGGGAATCATAGATTTGTTTTCCAGTTCAGCTACTCTGGCATTAAATTTGAATTTCCGACAATTCTTACTTTAGTGAATAATCCTTTAAATAGAGGGGTTTGTTTTGTTTGGTTATTCTACTCTACATTTTGCTAATTGAAGTTCATTCGCTAAATTGGGAATTGTTAAACTTTTTCAACACCAAACCTCAGGTAAAAATTGTCAAATAGGTAAAAATTTAAATCCAAATGATCTGTTTTTTCCAGCATTGATTTGGTTAAATACGTGCAATTTCCTTGTGAATTCTCACCAGTTTCCCGCTTAGAGAATAACAGTTTTATACGTAACGTAATGTACTGTCTGGTGATAAAACTTCCATCCTTTTATTTTCACAGAAATTCTCCAAATAATGTTTTATATCTCATACCATTTCAATTTCTGTGTGTGTGTTTTTTGTTTTTTTAACTTAATGATGCGCTTTGCAAACTTGTTCTTGATTTGAAATGAAAAAGGACAAACAAGTAAGAATACAGATATATTCAGTCCTTGTCACTTAATTTCACTTTAGGGCGTTTGTAAGACGCTCTGAGAGGGGATTGAAAAAAAGGCCGATCTCTGCAGGGCAATTCTGGTATTCTTTGACTATAACAACCTATGACATCTGTTCGTTGTACATCTTCAGTGAGACACAAATGACTGTACACACGGAAAGACACATTGTGAAATGAACATCTCGTCAATAGAACAGAATTAAAATCACCATGTCACCATTCAATCTCTTTACATTGTGACAAGTGTACTGTTAAATATAGACTTTTTTTATTATTATTATTTTGACAAATAAAAAATGGAGTGCTTTAATCTAGAGACATATATATACAGACACGGCCGTGCTGGGCTGAATTTGGGGTTATTCGCTTAACAGCAAATTGAAAATCGGAATTGCAAAATTTTTATCAAATTAGTCAGGGTGTGAATATTTCCAAACCAGCTATTTTTTTTGACTGCGTTTTGCAATTTTGCTTTTAATTCACTAGATCTCAATGTTTCGAGCAGGGACAGACAATATTCGGCACGCCAGGTGTTGTTGACTACAGCTCCCATGATACTTTTCCAGCATTATGGCTGTAGAGCATTATGAGGGATGTAGTTCCACAACATCTGGAGCGTCGAACCTCTGGTTTAGTGAATAAATACACCTCATCTTTTTGTTTTGTTTTTATTGTAATTGAGGGTCCTCCAAGGAAGGGAGAGACAAATATTAAATTATTATTTTATAAAAGTCTGCTCTCGTAACCTTTAACCAGTGATAGTAACTGTGACACCCCAATTTCTCTATTTCCCAGAAGCGGCTTGGCTATCCCCAACCTCCAAAAAAGACCCCAGAAGGTCACAGGGCTGCTTTGACACTGATTATTTTCTGAATATTAAAGTTTTACTTTGCATGGTTATACCAGACAATTGCTGCCTCTTTGGTCCAGCTCACACTTAATAAATCTGTTTGTTACCTAGAAAAAAACCATCCGTTGATAATAACATATAATATCCTTTAATAATCATATTATTTTACTTGGAAGGATTCATTGAGCTTTTTTGCCATGTCTTGGTTATAGATATTATTACCCAACTCAATGCTATTGGTTTTATCAACCTTGGAAGAAGGACAGACCGAATTAAACTTGTCAAGCACCATCTGGCAAATCTGAGGTTTGAATGAGTTCTGCAGTTAATTCATTCACCAACGGAGCTGAATTTGATTTATTTATCTGTTACATCGTATAGCTGACTGTCACTCTCATGGCACAGCCATGGCATATCATGCAAATTAAGTTAACTTGAAAAGAGTAAAGAAAATGTCATTTGTATCCCCCACTATCTGAATTGCTCTCTGAGCTTTTGATCATATTGGCACACATTGTATCAACATGTGACAAATGATTGTCTTAAATGTAGTTGTGATGAAAATTGAGTAGGGGTACTTGAATTATTCACAAAATGTAGCACACTCCATCATATTGCCAGCAGAAATCTAACGCGTCTGATTTACTGCCAGTGACTCAAGAAATTAAAATTCTAGTAAAGAAAAAAATGTTGTAAATAATCAAGAGGTGCGTCAGAAAATGCAAAGCTGTCAATTTGAAATGTGAAGTTTAGATGCTAAAGATTTCTGCTACAATTCAAACATTTTTCATCTCACCTGTTTTTCTTCAAAAAATGTTTTTAACCTCATTATGATAATTCAACACCTGGAAACATGCTCTAAAATGAGACACAAGGCTTGAAGATAGATAGATAGACAGACAGAGACAGACAGACAGATAGATAGATAGACAGACAGACATACATAGATAGACAGATAGACAGATAGACAGATAGACAGATAGATAGACAGACGGACAGACATACATAGATAGACAGATAGACAGACAGATAGATAGATAGATAGATAGATAGATAGACAGACAGACAGACAGATAGGCAGAGAGATAGATAGATAGATAGATAGATAGATAGATAGATAGATACATAGATACATAGATACATAGATAGATAGAAAGATAGACAGACAGATAGACAGACAGACAGACAGACAGATAGATAGATAGATAGATAGATAGACAGACAGACAGACAGATAGATAGATAGATAGATAGATAGATAGATAGATAGATAGATAGATAGATAGATAGATAGATAGACAGACAGATAGGCAGATAGATAAATACATAGATAGATGTATAGATACATAGATAGACAGACAGACATACAGATAGACAGACAGACAGACAGAGAGAGAGAGATAGATAGATAGATAGATAGACAGATAGACAGATAGGCAGAGAGATAGATAGATAGATATACAGATAGACAGACAGACAGAAAGATAGACAGACATATAGATAGATTGATAGATAGATAGATACATAGATAGAAAGATAGACAGACAGACAGACAGACAGATATATAGACAGATATACAGACAGACAGACAGATAGATAGATAGATAGATAGATAGATAGACAGACAGACAGATAGGCAGAGAGATAGATAGATAGATAGATAGATACATAGATACATAGATAGATAGAAAGATAGACAGACAGATAGATAGATAGATAGACAGACAGACAGACAGATAGATAGACAGACAGACAGACAGACAGACAGATAGATAGATAGATAGATAGATAGATAGACAGACAGATAGGCAGACAGATAGATAGATAGATAGATAGACAGACAGACAGACAGACAGACAGATAGATAGATAGACAGACAGACAGACAGACAGACAGACAGATAGATAGATAGATAGATAGACAGACAGATAGGCAGATAGATAGATAAATACATAGATAGATGTATAGATACATAGATAGACAGACAGACATACAGATAGACAGACAGACAGACAGACAGAGAGAGAGAGAGAGATAGATAGATAGATAGATAGATAGACAGATAGACAGACAGACAGATAGATAGATAGACAGACAGACAGATAGGCAGAGAGATAGATAGATAGATATACAGATAGACAGACAGACAGAAAGATAGACAGACATATAGATAGATTGATAGATAGATAGATAGATACATAGATAGAAAGATAGACAGACAGACAGACAGATATATAGACAGATATACAGACAGACAGACAGATAGATAGATAGATAGATAGATAGATAGATAGATAGATGGACAGACAGATAGGCAGACAGATAGGTAGATAGATAGATAGATAGATAGACAGACAGACAGACAGACAGATAGACAGATAGATCGAGAGATAGACAGATAGGCAGACAGATAGGTAGATAGAGAGATAGATAGATAGATAGATAGAGAGATAGACAGATAGGTAGATAGATAGAGATATTTCTACTGATGTTTCTATGTTTCTTCCTCATTCTGATGATCTTAATCCTTTGTACTTTTATTATTAATTTTTGCAAAATGCTACCATGAGACACTATTCCAGTCCCAGCCAAAATCCTATGAAAATTATACATTTTTAAACCAGACACAGTTATAAACAATGGAATGCGCAAATAGTTGTGGCTGGCAACAGGTCAGACCAGTCCAATTTTAGGAATTTGGAAAGTGGACATGCTCCGTGTGAGATATAGAGCACATCTCCGGGAACATAGTTTGTTGGCCTAAGACAAAAACGACCTAGAATTTGCAACAAGTTCACTCATTTGCTACAGGAAGTCGGAAGGTCTATAAAGACTGATTATGTCACCTGTGTCCAACTACTGCCCTTGGAAAGCTTATCAGAAAGACATTCCCTTGTTCCCCGTGCTTTTATGTTTCTAGAGTAATTGTTCCCTTTGCTCCCCCAGGTGTTTTCTACCCTTTTAACTTTTTATTCCATTTATCTCTCTTTTTTACTTCCTTACTCTTTCCTGGATCTCTTCCTTCTATGCTATTACAAATACCGAGTTAAATTATTTTTCTTTTTTTCTAATTCTTCCTACTGACCCACGGACTATGTTTGGGA